CTATTAAATCGTCTTGTCTCAGGGGTGAAGGCAATGTTTCCCCGTCTCGGTTCTTCAACTGAAAAGCTGGCACCACGGACAGAGTTGTTAAATTAGCAAGTATGCCAGCACTTTCATTTATTAATTGGTAGGTTCCATTTTAATTAAAATCATCCTAGCTAATTAGTCATTTCACTGTGTGCACCGCCAGGTGAGTAAGCGGGAGGACACGATGACGGCAAAAATAAACACTGCTCCCCCTCCACTTTATTAAGTTTGTGTTGTCTTCCCTTTCAGACGGAGCGAATCAAGGGAGACGTAAATTTAACCTTCTATTCTTGCCCGTGTCCTTCTGAAACGAGCCTTGTCTTGGAGTAAGTGCGTAACAGTAGAAAAAGCACAGGGTCCAAAATTCATACGTGTGGGTTTGGATGTTGCCTCTTCCATTTATGAACCGTGCGATCATGGGCAAATATTTAACCTCTGTGGTCCTCATCTAACATGGGAGTTATGGGCGCCTGGGGGGCTCAGTCGGTTAAGTGTCCGGTCATGATCTCACAGTTCATGGGTTCGAGCCCCGCATCGGGCTCTGTGCTGACAGCTCAGAGCCTGGAGCCCGCTTCAGATTCTCTGCCTCTCCCTCTCTCTCTGCCTCTCGCCTGCTCACACTCTGTCTCTCTGTGTCAAAAATAAATAAACATTAAAAATTTTTAAAATAAAATAAACTGGGAGTTAGGAGTAATCCTCAGTGCAGAGATTTGGTGTGAGGGTTAAATGAGTAATCAAAGTAAAGGACCAAATATGTAACAGGCACTTAATCAATGTTAGTTCCCCTCAACACCACCACCACCCCATTCACTCGGCCATCAAGGCTCAGCTCAGCCACCACCTCTTCTGAGATGTATTTTAAAGGGCATCTGGGTGGCTCAGTCGGTCAAGCGTCTGGCTCTTGATTTCAGCTGAGGTCATGATCTCATGGTCTGGGAGATTGAACCCCGCATCGGGCTCCGCACTGACAGCACAGAGCCTGCTTGGGTTTCTCAGTCTCTCTTTCCCTCTCTCTCTGCCCCTCACCACCCCCCCCCACCCAAAATAAACTTAAAAAACAACAGTATTTTCTAGAGGTGCCTGGGTGGCTCAGTTGGTTAAGCATCTTTGCTCAGTGACATCGGCTCAGGTCATCTCACAGTGCGTAAGTTCGAGCCCAGCGTTGGGCTCTGTGCTGACAGCTTGGAGCCTGGGGCCTGCTTCGGATTCTGTGTCTCCCTCTCTCTGCCCCTCCCATGCTCACGCTCTGTCTCTCTCTCCCTCTCTCTCTCAAAAATAAATAAAAAACAAAAATAAAAAAACAGTATTTTTCTAGTATATAGTTTATGTTCAAATAGCTACCAAGTTAGTAGGACATAAACACTTACTAGATTGTTTGGCTAGAACGACATAACAAATGCAACTATTAGGTTTCTTTTGGCCTATACTGTGTTGTGAAAAAATTACTGAGAGGCCATGGGTGCTCACGATGAACCAAGAAAGTGCAGGCACCGCTGTACAGGAAAGTGACAACGTTCTGAACCAGAGAAAGGACAATACTTGACATTATTGTTACAATATAACCTTGCAGTTAGAACGCCATAATTACTAGCCAGATGCTTGTTCTGAGCATCTGGTTGTGCTGTGAGTAAAGGGGTCACATGTATTCACTCCTTTAAACCCCCCAAAAGACCTCAAACAAAAGGTTGACTTCTCCCATTTACCGAAGAGGAAACTGAGGCCTATAGAGTATACGAGTCATTGCTAAAGGTCACCAAATAGGCTGATGCCGGAGCTGGGATTCAAATCTAGGCATCCTGACTCTCAGACTCAAGGCTCTTAGCCACTTGCTTACCAAGGACGCAGGGATGCAAAAGAAGGAGACAGCTGAGCTGTCTGCATGGCACAATGCACAGAATTCAGGGACCGGAGACACTAGATGTTTGGGGATGGCCACCTAGCCCACTTTCTTCTGAAGTGCTCCCACCCACTGCCTACTGACTCAGGGGACTTAGGGAGATGTGTGCATTTGTGGTCCCAACTCTGACCCCTGCCCTTGAACGTATCCACAGGTTACTGGAAACGTGCCAGGTGTCCCAAGCTCCATTAAACGAAGCTTCCTCCAAGAAACCGGAGATGGACGCAGTGAGGGCCTCTCGCCTTTCTATGTCTGTATCAGTCAACTGAAATAGGCGGTTATTGTCACAATAATGACAGGATGCGGGGCACCTGGGTGGCTCAGTCGGTTGGGCGTCTGACTTCGGCTCAGGTCGTGATCTCGTGGTTTGTGAGTTCGAGCCCCGCGTCAGGCTCCGTGCTGACAGCTCCGAGCCTGGAGCCTGCTCCGGATTCTGTCTCCCTCTCTCTCTGCCCCTCCCCTGCTCGTGCTCTCTCTTGCTCTCAAAAATAAACAGACATTAAAAAAATTTTTCTAAAGTAACAGGATGCAAAAAGGAAGGTTTACAACTTCTGGCTTTAGAGGTGGCTAGCTGGGCTTGCTCCCTCCCCACTGCTAAGCTTCCTGAGGTTGACTGGTTCAGTGGTTTTGTAGACTCCCTGAGGTCTGTACCCTGCCAATACCTTCTTTCCTTTGAGCCGGATTTGCTAGACTTCTGTTCCTTTTAACCAAAGGACGTTTCCCTGGAATCCTGAACATGGATGTCATAAAATACACTGTTAAAAAAAGGTGTATGTTCAGGGTTGGGTAATACCTCCGATGCTAAATATTTGGCCCCTTAAACTGGGTGGCCACGAGCGTGCTTCAGGCTGTAGACTTTGGCCGGGCCACGTCCTCTTAGAAACCAGGCAGGCCTGCGGGGTTCACGAAAACAAACAGTTCAGAGAGGCGGCTTTCTGCACGGTCAGAGGGCTCAAGAATCTACCAGGCGATTACACTGCTGTCAGATTGTAAATACACGTTTGCAAATGCCTCTGTAATTGTTCGGCAACAGTGTGGGACTGTTCACGCAGGGCCAGCTACTGCATGTTAATGGGGAGGCTTACCCAGCATCTGCTTTCAAGGTTGGAGCCAGATCTCTGCCATTTCAATGTTTCTGGGGATGCGGCACCAGATCGGGTATCTTTCCTCTGCCAGCTTGCAGACAAGAAGAACTCCGAGGCGATGGGCAGTTGTGTGGCTGATTGGTGGCCTTGGCGTGGGCATTCTGTTTTCAGCTATCCCAGAGTCTTCCTACAACTGATGTGGTTTCCTATACCTCCGGCGACTGCTAGTAAGACGGGAAACTGCCATCACGAACTTGAGGTCATTTTGCTTTGCACACTGGTGTCCTTGGCCTCGTGCAGGACGGTTACCATGATTAAAGAGATTTCCTGCTGACTCCGAAGCATGAGGTCTGGAGATGCCCATGTAAGAAGTGGTACATCTCAAGGCATGCAATTCAGGACGTTTGTCTTTTTGACTTTTGATTTGGGGCTAGTGCTCAAGACCAGTGTTTTTCTGCTTTCATCATCTTAAGACAAGAGAACCTCCTCTCTCTCGATTGGTGGGCATAGGGGCCTCAAATTCCTTCTTTTCAGTTGCTCTGGATAATGAGTGCCAAACCAGGCAATACCCCCGGGCATCTTGTGCATGTCACAGAACCCGTACGTTCAACGTCAGATCGTCGCAACTTCTAACTGCTGGCAGTCCTTCCAGTTTGGGTGACTATCCAGCTGGCCATTTCCAAGTATTACAGATTACTTAGGGGAATAACTCTGCTCTAACAAAATGACCCCAAATAAGTGGCAGAAAAGTGACCTAATGTCACAGTGCAGAGTGACAGGTTGCTTTGCTACAGAGTCATTTAGAGATCCAAACTCCTACCACCTCTGAGGTCTGCCGCCCCCGCCCCCCCAGAATTGTGCTCATTTGTATGGTCAAGGCGGGGTTGCAGATACATCTGTGTTGTGGCTCTCGGAAAGGGGAACGAGAGTCTGAGGAAGCTGGCTTATCTTTTAAAACAGGGATGACCTTGGGGCGCCTGGGTGGCGCAGTCGGTTAAGCGTCCGACTTCAGCCAGGTCACGATCTCGCGGTCCGTGAGTTCGAGCCCCGCGTCGGGCTCTGGGCTGATGGCTCAGAGCCTGGAGCCTGCTTCCGATTCTGTGACTCCCTCTCTCTCTGCCCCTCCCCCCTTCATGCTCTGTCTCTCTCTGTCCCAAAAATAAATAAACGTTGAAAAAAAAATTAAAAAAAAAAATAAAAAAATAAAAAAATAAAAATAAAACAGGGATGACCTTAGGGGCACCTGAGTGGCTCAGTTGAGTTAAGCGTCCGACTTCGGCTCAGGTCATGATCTCACGGTTCATGAGTTCGAGCCCCGCGTCGGCCTCTGTGCTGACAGCTCAGAGCCTGGAGCCTGCTTTGGATTCTGTGTCTCCTTCTCTCTCTGCTCCTTTCCTGCTCACACTCTATATCTCCTTGTCTCTCAAAAATAAATAAACGTTAAAAAAATTTTTTTTTAATTGGAGATGGCCTGCAAGGTCAACCTTCACTCACATCCTGTTGGCCCAGGTTAAGTTCCGGAGCCACATTTAACTACAAGGGGTCCTGGGTAATGCGGTTTCTTCCTGGGAAGCTCAGAGCTCAGCTTCAACTCTGCTGCCAGCGAGGAGAAGGTGACTAGATTCTGACGGGTGGTTTGAAGTTTCTAGTCACATGTAACAACAGACAGAAAGGAATATATTACCTCCTAAGAATAAGATCAATGCCACACGGTCATATAGTCAACAAATATTTATTAAGTACCTACTATATGCCAGATACTTTTTCTTACAAGTATTAAAAAATGTATTATTAACAAACTGTGGGTGAAATTACACAACACTATAAACACATTTTTCCACTTTTTAAAAAAAAAAAAATTTTTTTAATGTGTATTTATTTTTGAGAGAGAGACAGTGTGTGTGAGCACAAGCTGGGGAGGAGCAGAGAGAGGGAAACAGAATCCAAAGCAGGCTCCAGGCTCTGAGCCGTCGGCACAGAGCCTGACGTGGGGCTCGAACTCACAGACCACGAGATCATGACCTGAGCTGAAGTTGGATGCTTCACCGACTGAGCCCCCAGGCGCCCCTCACATTTTTCCACTTTTGAAAGACCTTTTGCTCTTTCGGGTAACAGAGGGCAAGTGGGAAAAGGCAAGGTATCTTTTACCTTCATACTGCGGGAACGATACTCGCGCCCGTCCATTTCCCACAGCTGGCGTTATTGTTGTCCTTGTGGATAAGCACACACCAAATCCTCTTAGTTATCTGGATGTTCGTCTCACAAATCATAACTTGCTTGTAGCACGTTTATGCCGCTTCAGGAAGACCTCTTCAGAGGATGACATTAGATCGCTGAGATTAAATTCAACGTCGAAGGTGGGTTTTTTCCCCAAAATAATTAAGGCCACGAACAGGGCAAGTTTCGCCGTTACTCCCTTGATCTGGTAGGTGACGCCATCTTCAGGATGTCTGTACTCAAAGCAGTGAACAACAACATCATGGCCAGAAAGCGTCATGTGACTCTGGTGGTAGACCCGCGGATGCAGGAAATATTCCAGAGGCACCAGGAACACCTTCTTCACCTCATCGGGATTGGGCTGGGCCTGGAACTTGTGGTCTATGAATCCTACAATGGGGGTTATCAGCGTATCTCTCTGAAAGCGGAAAACAAAACACACGAATTAAGAAGTGAAATAAATAAACGTTGAAAAAAAAAAAAAAGAATAAAAGTGAAGAGGGAATTGTTTCAGACGCTAAAATCCTGGCACGTCTAGGAAAATAAGAGAACAGTCCAGAGCGGCCAATCACATAAGGTGGGTAGGGACGGAGGGGGAATTTGCTCCAGACATGAACTTTATGCTCTCCGTGAAACGGGGGGACATACGTGGGCAGTATCTGTGAAACGACTCTGAAAATGTACCGGCATCATCTTTGGCAAGGGCAGCCTGGCGACACTATAAAAACGTGGTCCCTTTGACCTCACAAGCGCATTTGCGCAAACGTATCTGTATGATAAAGTCCTACCAGTGAGTCAAGATGCAAGACCGAGGCATTATCTGCACTAGCCTCAGGCTCTGAAGTTTCCACTCATCCGCTGACGGACGGACGTGCAGCGTAGGTCAGTTAGGAGGGTATCTGTGTAAGGGGATACTCTCGGCCCTTAAAATGAATGTGATAGACACCACCTGTCCCCATCAGTACAGACAAGGACGTGCCCATCTGATCAATACAAAAGTCCAGTGACATATCAACTGTGGCATAGGCCCAATTATGGGGAATTATACTTATTACATATGAACCAGTTTACATAACATAGATGTCTATGTATGGGAGGGGGGATTTCTATTTATAACCACAACTGCTTGCAAAGGAATGCAAAGTATCGTGAAATGAAAGGCCCCACCGGGAACCTGGAGGGTGAGGCAGCTGCATAAGAAGAGAAGAGCCGCGTACCCTTGAAATGGAAAGCGAGAGAAGTCTAGAGCTCTTGGGGGGCGTCCCGAGAGAAAGCGGTCCGGCCAGGAGAAGCCAGGGGTACACTGGGAGACCGACCCAGGATACCAGGATACACGGGCCTGTGGAAAATTTCTCAGGGGAGCGAGAGCTGAAACATGTTTCAGAGCGGTGATGACTCAGACCATTAACGGAATTCATGGTGAAAGTCAACTGTGCGGGCCAGGAGGGGAAGGTGGCAGCACAGACCTTCACCGTCCTTTGGGAGGAAAATCTGGGGTCAGAAGTGGCCCCAGGGCCGAAGCAGTAACCACCACCTGGCCCCGAGTGGATGCTCAGCCTCTCGGGCCACGGGCCCCCCAGAAGTGCTCTGAGACATGACACGTTCAGATACAAGTGATTTCTGAAGGAGGAGCTCCCAGGAGGTGCGTGAGGCAGGGAGGAACCCGGGCAAGGGCGGCTGCGGCCGTTCACGTCGGAGCCGGACTCTGACGACCCTCAGCACGGTCGCCGGCGAAGGGGCTCCTGGCAGCGTGAATTCTCGGGCCCTCCAGGCTCTCTGTGAGCAGGGGAAGGTGGCAAGCTGCGGGTGTGAGCTTTCAGACATACAGTAAGAGGGATAAGAAAGGGTCTGGAAGAACTCGGAGTGTTCGTCCAGGGCGCATCTGTGGTTGCTGTCACCATGCCGTGACCGCAGCCTCAGGGGCCCTGGTCTTGTCTGCAGCACCCTCTCCCTGCTTCTTCACGACAGCCTGACCTTGAGGAAGCTTTAACAATGGAAATCAGAGACCTGAGGAAACCTGCTCAAGGTCAAAGCCGGCTAATACTTGGCAGGAACCAGGATTCACCTGGCCTGCTGCCCACGCTGTAGAGCAGAGCACTTATGTTCGGTGAAGACACAGATGTTACCCTATCTCCGAGTGGCACACCAGCCTTGCATGTGGCTTACACACGCTCTGGAGAGTTCTCAGCTGCAGCTCGGACTTAAGCTCTTGCTGAGGGCTGAGCTAGGGACACAAATGCATCCTTACTCTAAGGGCCAAACCGTTACAGGCACGGGTGTGAACGAGCAACTTAGCGAGGCCAGTGCTGGCCCCTGGACCAGCGTGTCCAAGCGTGAGGAAATTGGTGGGGAAAAATATCAAAGCCACGAAGGGAGATAACGCTTTGAGACTGAATGATTCAGAAGGGAAGTCAGGCACGTCCAATGTGGTTCAAGTTTAGAAAAGTGAGAGACTTTGGAAATCAGTAAATGAACAAGCATCTTTGGACACCCAGTTCCTAGACACGGGTGTCCATCTTGGAAGGAAGAAAGATGGCGGGTGCATGGCGGACGTTCTAGGACCAAGAAAAGACTGAATTTCGGCCACCTGCTGGGCTGGAATCCCGTGGAGACTGGCTTAGGCTGTGGGAAAGGGGAAAGGCATGCTTTGGGGTCTCTGGAGGAAACCACATGCTGTTTTTTTTCAATGTTTATTTATTTAAAAAAATTTTTTTAATGTTTTTATTTATTTTTGAGACAGAGAGAGACAGAGCATGAGCAGGGGAGGGGCAGAGAGAGAGGGAGACACAGAATCTGAAGCAGGCTCCAGGCTCTGAGCTGTCACCACAGAGCCCGACGCGGGGTTCGAACTCACGGGCTGTGAGATCATGACCTGAGCCGAAGTTGGACGCTTAACCAACTGAGCCACCCAGGCGCCCCAATGTTTATTTATTTTTGAGAGAGAAAGAGAGAGACATAGCATGAGCGGGAGAGGGGCAGAGAGAGGGAGACACAGAACCCGAAGCAGGCTCCAAGCTCTGAGCTGTCAGCACAGAGCCCGATGCAGGGCTCAAACTCACAGACTGCAAGATGGTGACCTGAGCTGAAATCAGACATCTGACTGAGCCACCCAGTCGTCCCAAGCCACATGCTCTTAGAAACATGCCCAGGAAGGACATGCCACTGGAATGCATCGAAACGTTTACAGGAGTTGAAGCTGCAGAGATGGCAAAGTGAAGGAGTGAACGGAAACGTAAGGGACACAGACAGAGAAAAAGAAGAAAAGTCTCTCTCCTGAGACTTTTGCAAAGAGAAGTACACACACGTTTGACGAAAAGACCACTGGGGTGGGCTCAGAGGGCCACAGCCTGCCTTGGCGGGGGGGGGGGGGGGGGAGTTAGTGCAGGGGTGGGAAAAAGCCAACAGCACCCCCTCTAGCTCTGACACCCAGAAACATCTCCAGACATTGCCACACTCCCTGGGGGAGGAGATCGCCCCTAGGTAGGAGGCACTGAATTAGATTATGCTTCTAAGTGTTTAACACATGGCATTTTTGTGCTACATTTAAAAGAACTGCAAGGCTCAAAGAACAAAGCAATCCTTGCCAGCACTTCCAAAGACAGTACACCCTTCCAGAAAGCCCTGTGTTCCTCCTCATTTCTTGATCATGTGACTGGCATTATTATATCAAGAGCTGGTCATTGTAGAAACATCCGGCCCCAGGAGCGTCTGGCCCACAGAAATCTCCTGAGACCCAACACACTCCTGTGAACACTGTTGTATTCCACCACTCCGGGCAGAACTCAGTAGTTCCCGGGCACCTTGGAAATGGAGTTCCTCTCACTGGGGCAACTTTTAACCATTACGGTTCGATCTGGCAATAGAGTTTTAATATAAATCCCCAAAACACGCTGGAGGATTTTGCAGATGCCAAGTGGAAAGGGTTCCCCGTAGAGAGAACAGAGCTGCCTAGAAAGTAATTAAGTAATTGACACATTTCTTGTCCTAATCCCACATTTTCCCCTCTTAGTTAGGAAGCATTTATTTGAGAGGCCATTAGCTTCTTCTCAACTCAATCTCCCCCGAGTGGTGACCTTTCTGTTTTTCAAATGGGCCAGATTAAGATAGATATCTCAGCATCATTGATTGTGACAAGGCTGTACCACCAAGACTTGAGGCCAAATGGAACAAAAAGAATGGTCTAACCCATGGGTGTTCTGATTTGTATGCATCAGTGGGACTCTCCTCCCGAAATAAAAATTTACCTGAATGCCCAATGTATAAAACATACAGCTCACACCTACCTCCGATACCTGGTTGGAGCACACTACCTTTGTGGTATTCTTCCCCCGAGCCCATAACCCCAGCCTACCCACGAAGAAAGTATCAGATAAATCCAAATGGAGAGGCATTCTACAACCTACTTGACCAGCGTACCTCGAAAGTGTCAAGATCGGGGCACCTGGGTGGCTCAGTCGGTTAAGCGTCCGACTTCAGCTCAGGTCACAATTTCACAGTCTGTGAGTTTGAGCCCTGCATCGGGCTCTGTGCTGATGACTCAGAGCCTGGAGCCTGCTTGGAATCCTGTCTCCCTCTCTCTCTGCCCCTCCCTCACTCACACTCTGTCTTTCTCTCTCTCAAAAGTAAATATTAAAAAAAAAAAAAAAAAACTGTCAAGGTCATGAGAATAAGGAAAGTCTGAGAACTTGTCACAGAGCACAGACTAAGGAGACATGACAAGCAAATACAATATGATGTCCCAGATGAGATCCAGGGCAGAAAAGAGGACATTAGTAGAAAAATTGGTAAAAGGCAAATAAAATGTGGAATTTAGGTAACAGCAATGTAATAACATTGCTTTCTTAGTTGTGACAAATAGACACCAGGGATGCAAGATGTTAACAATGAGATGAAGTGGGGGCAGGATTATGAGGACCCTTCATAGTATCTTTGCAACTTTTCTGTAAATCTGCAACTATTCTGACATTGCAAGTTTATGTTAAAAATTTTAAAGCGATAGAATAATGCTGGTATCGGGGCACCTGGGTGGCTTGGTCGGTTAAGCGTCCGACTTCAGCTCAGGTCATGATCTCATGGCCCGTGAGTTCGAGCCCCGCGTAGGGCTCTGTGCTGACCGCTCAGAGCCTGCAGCCTATTTCAGATTCTGTGTCTCCCTCTCCCTCTGCCCCTCCCCTGTTCATGCTCTGTCTCTCTGTGTCTCAAAAATAAATAAACTTTAAAATAATGCTGGTATCCAAATACAAATTTACGTTTACTCCTTCTAAAGTCAATTAGTAAATAGTTGTAAGTTCATAAGAAATAAGATCAGGCTAGATCAGCTCCAGAATTCATTTTGCTGCATTTATGGGTTTTTCGTGTATACTATTCAAGAAATCCTGACTCGTACAGAAATGTAGTCACAAATAGTAATAGTTTTTGAACAGCTTGCCTGGCGATCTCAGGGTACTACTCAATGAATATATGGAAAAGAAGCCTGATTCCATGGTATGTATAAAAATGAGTATATTTAGGGGTGCCTGGGTCGCTCAATTGGTTGAGCATCTGACTTCGGCTCAGATCATGATCTCACAGCTTGTGGGTTCGAGCCCCACATTGGGCTCTGCGCTGACAGACTGGGGCCTGGAGCCTGCTTCAGAGTCTGGGTCGGTCTCTCTCTCTCTCTCTCTCTCTCTCTCTCCCCCTCTCTCTGCTCCACCCCATTTGCACTCTGTCTCAAAATAAATAAACTTAATAATTTTTTAAAAAATGTAAAAAAATAATAAAACTGAGCATATTTAGGACAAAGGTGATGCACTGGTGGCCTCCAAGGGGTGAAAATTTGGTATACAGCATGCTCACATGTGTGGTGGTTTTTCAACAGAATTCTCAAAAGAAATGCTGACCAGTGCAAAGTAAATGGAAACCGAATGCTAAGGAAAGAACTCTGTTCTGTGAACAGGGTTCCAGAAACCATTTTGAGACCCACTGATGCAGTTCAACCTGTTCATTTCTGGATGGTTAAAGAGGGGCCCAGATGGGCAACGGAGCTTTGCCCAAGGCCACTGAGCTCACAAGGGGCAAAGTCCGCATGAGAACCAGGCTCTTGACTCTGTGTTAGGCGCTGTCGAGGGTCACGGTTGGCCACGCGTGGAATGCTGAGACAGTGGATCTGCTGGGTGCTCAGAGTCTGAGCCACCCAGATCGACCCCGACACTTACCTCAAGCAGATACGGCACCAGGCGGCAGACAACCTCCACCTGACGGGGGCACAGCCCCACTTCCTCCTGGGCTTCCCGGACAGCCGTGGCCACATCATCCACATCTGTGGGTTCACACTTGCCTCCAGGAAAGCAAACTTCTCCAGGAGACCTGCGTAGCTGGGAATTGAAAGGGCAGAGTCGCAATGCGGGATTCCCACTCAGGCACCGTTCACTCACTCAGCAAGGATTTACCGAACTTGTGTCACAGACCGGTCCCACCACCCTGGTGGGAGTAAGCGGAAAGAAGACTGCCCCACCACACACACACACACACACACACACACACACACACACACACAAAAGTTTTTACTTGAATCCTTTTAAAACATGAACTTTGCGAACTCCCTTTACTTGTCACCGTTCTCAGAAAAATCTGTATCTGCCCAGAAGATACAGATTTACATGGACGGGGGAAGAAAAGCGGGAGGGGTGATAATAAAAAGGACACTGTGATCAGCAGATAAGCTTTACTGAGTCCCACCATGTTCTGGGCATGTTGCTTCACAGGAGCCCTCAGATCGGCTCCACATGCTGTTGGGTTTTTTTTTAAGCATTTTTTTTTAATTGAGATGAAATTCACATAACATGAAATGAACCATTTTAAAGCGAACCATTCAGTGACGTCTAATACATTCACGGTGGGGTGTGAGCACTGCCACTACCTGGTCACTAAGCAGCTGCTCCCCACCCCTCCCTACCCCGCCCCTCCTTTCTGTCTCTAGGGATTTACCTACCCCAGGTTATTTCATATACATGCAGTCATATGACATGTGACCTTTCGTGTCTGGTTTCTTTGACTTAGCAGAATGTTTTAAAATTTTTTTAATCTTTAAGTTTTCAACTGAAGTATAGTTGACATATAATATTAAATTAGTGGCAGGTGTACAATGTCGTGATTCAACAATTATATATACATTACACCGGAGTGAGGTTTTCACGCTCTTCTGTGTTGTACCATGGCATATCAGCACTTTTTCCTTTTCATGACAGAACGGTATTCCACTGTATGTATATATCACAATTTGTTATCTTTTCCAAAATGTTTTTTTTTT